AAGGAACCTTGGAATATGACCTGTGGGGAATCCGTAATGCAGTTCAAGGTCAATCTTGTTTCTTCTTCGTCGCCCGAAGCTACTCGAGCACTGGTTAAGCCCGATCCTGGAGACAAATTACCCGTGTCCCATCAGACCATCACTATAAACAATCCCGAATACAAATCATACATAACGGAAGAGAATTCTTACATAAATATTTCCCCTGTCATGGTTTGTCAGTTTGTGGTATTTAACTCAAGCCAATACACACTTAACCCGACTGGAGATATCCGCCTCGCTGACGGAAGCGTGTCCCTTCAACCTCACGAATTCGAATTAGCCGACGGGGATGTACGTGTATGTGTTGATGTTCTGACTAGCAGATACGACGCTTTGACAATACCTAAGCGGGTCAATATCCACGGAGTTGTTCGGCGGTATTTATCCTATGTGTGCGTGACTCTGTCTTTGGTAGGACTTGCTACCACTTTCACTGTATACATGGTGTTCCCGTCCCTCAGAACCCTCCCTGCTAAGAACAACATCTGTCTGGTGGTTAATCTGTTCCTTGCACAGTCTCTCCTGCAGTTCGGCGGCGTCATGAGGACTGAGAATCCTACATCTTGTGCAATCCTGGGGATCCTCATCCACTTCTTCTGGTTGGCGTCTCTTTTGTCTATGAACGTGTGTTGTTTTCACATGTACAGAGTGTTCAGCAGCAGGACGTTAGCCGCTATGCCAAGACACTCCTCTTTGAGACGACTTGTGAAATACATTGCCTACCCGTACACAGTTGCCACCATCATAGTAACTTCCACCATAACGTCACAATACATCACCAGCAATGGCAGCAGCATCGGATACGGTGGAAGACACTGCTACCTGTCTTCACCGTTACTAATAGGTTTAGCCTTTGCCCTGCCTCTAGGAGTCATCCTGCTTCTGAACGGAATCATGTTCTGTCGGGCTGTTCGTTCAATAGCACAGACCAGCCTCATTCAGAGAGAGGCTATGGCAAAGGGTAGACACAACCTGCATGTGTACATCAAACTTTCAACGCTGACAGGACTATTCTGGATTGTGGGGATCCTAGCGGAGGTGTTTCCCCTGGAGGTTCTCGCCTACCTCTCCATCATTTTGAACGGTAGTCAGGGCGTCTTCATCTGCATTGCCTGCGTCTTTAACAAGAGAGTCCTCCACCTAGCTGGTTGTACAGGGAAACTGCCGGGTCAGACCACCAGCTCGGACAAATCAAAAACACGCACCAAGAGTACATTGGCGAATGACTTAAAATGAATGAAGAAAAGTGTATTTTAAACAAGAATATGTTTTAAATGTATTCCCTTTCTGGACTGGTTGGCAGATACATACAATTGCACAAAGAAAGCAGGCATGGACAGAAGATCCGACTCTGGGAGTCTCTGACAATTGAACGTTACTGATTTTGCAAAGTCATGCTATACACAATTGCACATTGTAATTTAACAAGCTCACCGTGAAAACGTCATTTGTATAGGAATTTGCAATGCACAAATGCTGAGTCTCTGATTGTGTTTTCTGCGTTAAATATTTAATTAGCAGTGTATGTAGAATATGTGCTATCCGTGAAACAAAACATGGCATCACAGTATTATCCTATCATCATTATCATTATCTGAGTGAGTGAGTGAGTGATTAAATTAAGCTTAACGCCGATCTTACAATAATGTTATATTACGGCATGATAGCTCAGTGTAGGAGAGAACCCGGGGTGATGCATGCCTGGGACGTGTCATTCTTTGGTGAAATACATGAGCATGGCCACTTTACCTGTAAACATAGTCTGGGCGAGCCAGGGTTCAAACCCCAAATCAAAGGTTTCCGTATTGTCCAAGGGACGTAACTCTGTACCACTAATTGCGGCGCCCTTGACGACATGAACACTAGTGTCCCCCAAGTTTTCTTGGCACGTGTTCAGAAGAAGGCACATATACGCAACATGGATAACACATGTCATCAGCGGGACACATAGCTCGCGTTCTCGACGTGACACGTTGAACATACACACCATGTGTTCTCCAGGAGGTACATATATACAACATGGATAGCACATGTCATCAGCTCGACACATAGCTCGCGTTCTCGACGTGACACGTTGAACATACACACCATGTGTTCTCGAGGAGATACATATATACAACATGGTAAACACATGTCATCAGCTCGACACATAGCTCGCATTCTCGACGTGACACGTTGAACATACACACCATGTGTTCTCGAGGAGGTACATATATACAACGTGGATAACACGTGTCATCAGCTCGACACATAGCTCGCATTCTCGACGTGACACGTTGAACATACACACCATGTGTTCTCGAGGAGGTACATATACACGTGGATAACACATGTCATCAGCTCGACACAAAGCTCGCATTCTCGACGTGACACGTTGAACATACACACCATGTGTTCTCGAGGAGGTACATATATACAACGTGGATAACACGTGTCATCAGCTAGACACATAGCTCGCATTTTCGACGTGACACGTTGAACATACACACCATGTGTTCTCGAGGAGGTACATATACACAACGTGGATAACACATGTCATCAGCTCGACACATAGCTCGCATTCTCGACGTGACACGTTGAACATACACACCATGTGTTCTCGAGGAGGTACATATATACAACGTGGATAACACGTGTCATCAGCTCGACACACAGCTCGCGTTCTCGACGTGACACGTTGAACATACACACCATGTGTTCTCGGGGAGGTACATATATACAACATGGATAACACATATCATCAGCTCGACGCATAGCTCGCATTCTCGACGTGACACGTTGAACATACACGCCATGTGTTCTCGAGGATGTACATACATACAACATGGTAAACACGTGTCACCGGCTCGACACACAGCTCGTGTTCTTGACGTGACAAAAAGGTACACTACATGTGTTCCGACGACTTGTACCATCCCTTCCAAGGCGGTGTGGAACAATGACGTCTGCAAGGGGTGGTGTCACCAGGAACTGACCCGAACGCCCCCTTGTGTTCACACGTGCAGTGAGTGAACTTAATTAATGCTGACAATGACAACAATACATATGTTCACCTCTGTGTCGAATTTCATTGATGTATGTCCAAGCTTAATCGTCTTATGTATACTTACATATATTACGTTTAATACATTTTCCTTATTTTTGGCCTATGCGTTTCTTTTTTAAGAGTGTAAGACCTAGCTTTTGAAATAAACATATTTACAGAAAAAAGTTTTAAATCAAAATAAATACAATAAAAAGGAGCCCAGAGACTTTAGAGTGAAAGCGTGGCACTTGCCAAACTTTCTAGACTTGCTGCATTGGGTATACTTCTTTCAGGGTGTTTATGACAGACTATTCATCGGTCAATGCACAGTTACGCAATAAAAACATTCTTGACTATTTATTGTAACTGTAAGTACGTAAAGGTGATTTGTTAGTATTTTTGTGAATAAATAAAAAACTTGTGAGAGGGGTGGAGGAGTGATGGGAGGTTTACTTCACAATTCAAACATTCGATGCGTGTAGTTTACCTATTTTGAAGATAAATTTATCGATAGGTCTTTGACCACACAGTTTGCTCAAATTTCAATTAGTAATTCATTTCATTTTAAGTGACCTCCACCAAGAGATGCTATCATAGCTTGTGAAAAGGGAGTGTACTGCATTGTAAAATAGAATTTGTATTACGTGGTTTTGGTTAAGGGTCAGAGGTGGGGAAGTTTCTATGTTCTGACGCTTTTTAGAGTAAAGTGAAGTAACCCGGAAGCTTCAAGATACCTCTGGAGCAGCATCCACGTGTTATCACTCCTTTATAAGTGCATGACGAGTGCATGCCTCTATCATCTCAAATAACATCAAGACTATCGATTGTAGGAAGATCATCTTTTCACCCTGAAGTTCAAGCCTAGTTCTAATTTGAAGCTTGACCACTGTTGCTGCTGGGTGAATATTATTACCACTGACTTCATTGTCATGGCAACTGTTTATTTATTTTGTAATACTGCCTTTTTAAATTGTAGCCTTTGATTTCGCATTGACACCCTGCTGTGTATTAACATATGGTTTGTTTGCTGCATAATGTATATATTTGCAAACCAGTTTGATTCTACCATCTAATTGTATAATATTTCTTTATTGTGTGTTGGTTTCACGATGAATTCTTTGGGTTAGGTTTCTTTGTTAAAAGTACAAGAGAGTCCGAAAAATTCGCGCGTCCGGTAATTCTGCGCAGCTGCAATAGCGAAATCGAGACATTTCTACAAGGGACTGGCTTTTAATCACTAAAGGTAAGTAAATAACAGTAACTGACAGATAAATTGACAGTTTTATGAAAATTCGTTTTCATCGGACTTTTAAACCCTTTTCTTCATTATTCATAATTGGATTTAATATGAGACACCCTTCCTTACATTGATGAAGTGATTTTTTAAAATAATCTGGCTCTAATACGCTTCCATACTTTGGATCTCCAACTGGATGATATGCGCATCAGTTGCTGCGCAGATTTACAGGACAGTAAGCGATGTCGTCAGAACGCCGGTTAGGTCAACCGTATGGCATAATGCAACGTTAGAATCTTTTAGTCGTCAATAAAACTTATATTTCTAGGTAAATATGATGCATACCAGCATGTTGAGTCACGTAAACCACAAAAAATAAGAGACGTTAGTTGCGGAATTACTGGTCGGCATTGTTATGATTGTAATTATTTTCAAATTGGAAATCGACACGTAAGAGACATCTTTCACACAACTCTCACCTCAAATAGGTTCGTTCGAGCCTAGAATTTCAGCTCTGTGCACAATCTTTGCGCATTGACGTTTTAGGAACAACATATTTCATAACACTATAATACATAACATTCTACAGAAAGCTATTTTATGTGCGCTTTGTTTCAATGGCATCTTGTTCCAGGGAGGTTACTCCCATGTTTCTGGTCACCGGAAAGAGCTCTTCTATACCGAAGTAATAAAATGTTAAACTTCCGCTCTATGTGGACGAAATGAAAACTTGATATTTAATTGATTTTTTTACCATAACAAATGTCCGGGTGAAGGCATTTTCTCCTTAATTACATAAGGACGACTGAAACATGACAGAAGAAGACAAAAACACGCTCCCCGGTGGTGAACAAGAAGAATTTGAGAGGCACTCACCTCAACCTGCAGGTAAATTTACTTCAGCGTTGTTTCTTGTACGGATCTTTGGATGGGTTTTTAATGTTTGTGCACACAGACTCACATTTTTCGGTCTGGCATCTAATCGCTCTAGAAACACAGCAAAATGCATAACAATTACAAAATGTGCAATAGTGTAAACGCTTCACCCACTGATGAATTAAATCAGAATAGATCTAGTGTTACTATATCATGGTAATCATGGCCATAGTAATCACAGCTAACAGTGTAGGGAAAGATTTCCGCCCGTAAACCTCGTTTTATTATCATTCTATGCCTAAGATGTATAGTAAGAAAGATGGTTTTATAGAAAGCCTATCCTAACCCTAACCCTAAACCTAACATAATGCTGAATCTAAACCCTAAACATAAAGCCTAACCCCTTGAAAAAATCAAATAATTAGAATACATTTCAAGCGGGGGTTACGGGCGGAACTCTTACCCATTGTAGATTGTATGCATGGTATTGGTATGATGTTTACCATGTTTATCTTACTTTTGGGATTTTCTAATTTACATATTATGTTTGAAAAGCGTGCGTCAATGCTTAGAGAGTGAAGATAACTGATGGTGTAGGTCCTCCATATCTGTTTCAGAATATAATGTCACCTAAATCAGTTTACATGATCGTGATATTTATTACTTATTGATTGTGTGACACATGCTGCTATGTATTCATAGCACTATTATTACTGTACCTGTCTAATGGATTTATTCAATCTGCAGGTATTTCTGTATTAAAATATGTTACATCTGAGTTGACGAGAGGCTATCTACTGGAACGTGATGAGTCCAAGTATACAGAACGTAGAGAAAGAGTCTACACATTCATGAAAACTCCAAGAGAACTGGAAAAGGTATTACTGGGAATCGAGTTGCACATACACTGTCATGTTATACATGAGAAGATTAATTGGAGTCATACCTTATTAACATTTTGATAAACATGAATAATTTCAACAATCTGATCCTGATCGTAAAAAGTGTATGCACCGAAGAAGGTCATGAATGCCATATCTGATTGATATCATCCTGACATGCACTGGTGATAGATATATGAATCAGTGATGTATGTTGTGCATATGTTTCCACTTAAAGGTATTTATCATAATTGCAGACATGGGTTAATGGTACTTTTATGCCATGTTAATGTTTTTTCTATTTGATGTGGTCTGTGTTTTCTGATCTTGGTGCAATATTGACAAACTTTATGAATAACAACTTCTTCTATTTCATGAGTGCGACGTTTCTTATTTTGTGAGTGCGACATTGTCAAGCAGGTACATGAACTAGTATCGAAATATTGCACCCACGAAAAATAAGAAGTTATAATCCATAAAGTTTGTCAATGCTGTACTTCCCATGTTCTAAAATATCACTCAATGAAGTTGTATCTCAGGGATTGGGATAGAGAACTTGGACAGTGGGCCATTTTCAGGATTATTAGCCATTTTCTGAATTAAGAATGGGCCACTGCCCTTGTATCAATAGAAAACTTCGAAATTTTAATTTGGACATTTTTTATTCTAATGTTCAAAATGGCCCCAGCCTTTCCCGATCCCTGGTATCTTGTGCATGTATGAACATAACTATGATACTTTTTAGTTTTGCATGTATGGGTTCTTCCAATGCCTGGACGCATTCCTCTTCATCTTCACATTCCTGCCTCTGAGAATCCTCATGGCCTTGCTACGTCTCTTCACACACCCTTGTGGTATCTTCACAGCAGGGTGAGTTCTATTACTGGTTCAAAAGAAGATGTCAACTGATGTTCTTCATAATTCATGCCATCTTGTGGTATCCTATCAGCAGTCTGTTACCATGGTTACAGACATGGACATCTCACACAGGAGACTCTTGCTGAATTAACCAGCATGCATTGTTGTGATGATAAGAGAATAACTTACAGTGTATCATGCATGAAACAAACACTAACATAGTACAGTCAAAGTTCAAACATTATTATGTCAAAGTTGAGGTAACCACTGTAACCAACGTAAATATTTTGAGTAAACCAAGATTCGACACAACCTCAGAATGATGACTAAATAACGAATACATGAGGACCAAGCTTTTTTATTTCTGGACAACCACAGGTTCAACACAACAGTGTTTGACTGTAATGATAGCTATCTATCCTTGATCATGTTGATAGTGTTTTAGTTTCAGTAGTTAATTATGGTGACCGCCTCCGTGGTGTAGTGGTTAGAGCGGCCGCCCGGAGAGCGGAAGGTCGCGGGTTCGATCCCCGACCGCATCATACCAAAAGTCGTTAAAATATGGTACTTGTTGGTCCCTGCCTAGCGCTCGGCATTAATGGGTACAACAAGGACTGGTCGGCTCGGAGTCAGAATAATGTGTCTGAGTGGGGTATTCATGCTTCACTGCGGCCTGGTATCTCAGTGGGCTAGCACTATAAAACCAGCTTCAGTCTGGGCTAGTACAAGCAGCCGCACATACACATACACACGCATGCACGTCGTCATATGAGCGAAATATTCTCAAGCACGATGTAAAACCCAATTTCACCTCACCTCACCTCACTTAGTTATGGTGGATAGAACCCAAACTTCTCTGTCATATTTTTTTTGCATTATTTATTTTTTTGTCTACTAACCATATTATTAACTGTGTGTTACATCTGAACATGTATTTCTGGTTTAAATTTGCTATGAGAGTATAATGAACTCTAGTTATCGGTTAAAATCATGGTAAGTTATAACAATGATGGAAATGTACTGAAAGTCATCTCAATTGTCACAGATCAAAGCGCTACCTGGAGTCAGCACATATCTGTGATCTCTTGAAGGGCATCATTCTCCTTGTGTGCATCTTCGTCATCAACTACATCGACACATCCATGATGTATCACCTTGTGCGAGGGCAGTCCGTTATCAAACTCTATGTGTTCTACAATATGTTGGATGTGAGAGCTTTTATACCACATTTATGTTTGTATTAGTAGTTTCTTGCTGTGTCATGCACATACAGGACTAATTGGTAATTGCTTTATTTATCACAATAATCAAGTTCCTAATTTCTTATTTTGATAATTTCCCTTTGACATTTCAATTATGTGAACTGCCAATAAGAGGAAAATTTGTGTGATTTAAAAAAACACAATATACATTTTCCAAACTTATTGTGGTATGTGTTCATCAGTATTTCAAATCATGGTATGCTGGTTATATCGCACACCTTCTGTGTGTGATGCTGTGGTTATATCACCTTCATGGATCTTTGATCATTGTGTAAACAACTAGTTAGCTTACTTGAGATTTACAATCAGCTGTGATATAGCTGGGCTATTTCTTGGCATAAGAGGGGTGGTGGCTAATGGTTAAAGCAGCATTCACAATTAACCTGACAACACTGTCTTCACAATGCATCAACAGTGTGCTTTTTGGGCCATCACCTGAAGAAACTGCCCAAACTAAACCACTAAACCATTGAGATAATGGTTACCATTATTCTGTACTACTCAAAAGAATTTAGGGACCAACCGATTCTTTATGATTACTATAGTTAATCAACATCATTTAAGAGCTCAGTGCTCCATATTTGTCATGGTTAGATATTATAAATGTACAAGTGGTACTTTCCACGTGTTCAGGTTGAAATGTGGATTTATTCTGTTTATGTATTGTCATTTCAGGTCTGTGACCGACTGTTCTCGGGATTTGGTCAGGATATTCTTGATGCTTTGTTTTGGACAGCCACAGAGCCCCGGGGAAAGAAGCGAGAACATGTGGGAGTGGTGCCTCATCTCCTCCTCGCTATTGTCTATGTCTGTATCCTTGATCACTGCAGATTGTTGAAATCCTGGGCCCAGATTTTCAATGCTCTCTTAGCGGTAAGATAGTCATAAGTGCCATGCATTAACATTAACTTACGACTATCTTAGCACTAAGAGAGCTTCGAAAATCTAGGCCCAGGCTTAAATATATCCCCTGTTATTTCAGCTGGTCATAAGAGGTAACCGAATGGATTAGATGTACAGCAGTTTATCTATAACAGAAGCTGTATACTAGCCTGAATAATGATATCATATTGGGGAAATTAAAGGGATCCTGTCTTCAGGTACAATTAACCTCTGACCCAGGTTTCCCCACAAGTGTAAATTCAAACGTTTTCAGTTGATGACATTGACCAGAAAACAATACATATGCTAGATGTGATGTATTTCCTTACTAATTAACTTGGTGTTAGTCTGAAAACTAGAGGGTGGTGGGGTAGCCTAGTGGTTTAAGCATTTGCCAGTCATGCCGAAGACCTGGGTTCGATTCCCCACATGGGTACAATATGTGAAGCTCTTTTCTGGTTACCCTGCTGTGATATTGCTAGAATATTGCTCAAAATGGTGTAAAACTAAACTCACTCACTGAAAACCAGAGTGTCACAGGTAGAGAGGTAGTCCCAACAAAAAGCATTCACCACACAACACCTGGCCTCCGTTTCACAAAGCATTTATCATGCTCTTTGACTGATGTATTTTAACAGTCTTACACTACGGGGCTGTGGGGTAGCCTAGTGGTTAAAGCGCTCACTCGTCACACCGAAGGCTCGGGTTCGGTTTTTCACATGGGTACATTGTGTGAAGGCCATTTCTGGTGTCCCCTGCCATGATATTGCTGTAATAAAGTGGCATAAAACCCAAGTCACTTACTCACTCACTCACTCATAACAGTTTTAACACTACACATGTTTTGTGGCATGGAGTCAACTATGCAGTAAGAGGAGTCACAGATGTCACAATTAACTGAGGCACCGGAATTCATTTTGCAGAGTTGCCTCCCTTAGGAGTGCAGGGAAACTGGGGTCATGGGTTTGAATCCCAGGTGAGCAAATTTATGTTTCTTGGTTCGTCAGTGCCATAATCATGCTTATGGTTTCACCTAGAAGTTTAAACTCTTTAAGACAATGATCACTGTGGGTGTTTTTCTTACATCCAGAGGCGGTGGGGTTGTCTAGTGTTCAAAGTGTTGGCTCGTCCAACGAAGACCCGAAGACCCGGGTTTCGAATCCCCACATGGGTACGGTGTCCCCCGCCGTGATATTGCTGGAATATTGCTAAAAGCGGCGTAAAACCAAAGTCAGTCAGTCAGTCAGTCTTACATCCAGCTTACAGGCCTAGATGTAACGGGAATATTGTTCAAAGTGGAAATTGAAACTAACTCACTCACAAACATAATAAGACAGTTATTTACTCTTAACTGAGCTTCAGTGATGCACACCATGTTGATCCTGTCCCAGGCCACGGTCCTCAATGTTGCCTTCAACTCCCACAACAAGGCGCTGCTCACCATCATGATGTCAAACAATGTAAGTGGGAATGCCCTTAACCTAAGTGGCATCATCATCTTCATTTCACCAAATAGACAGTCACCTGTGTTGTTCTCATAAAGATTGGGCCCCTTTCTCACAGTCTGTGTTGTTTTCATGAAGCTTGGCCCCCAGTTGAAAGATTACATCAGAAAGAGGCACTCTGTATGCTGTTTCATGAAAAAGTGGTTCTCTGTTACAGTCTGTGGGTTGTAATGAAAAAAGAGGCCTTCTATTATAGCCTTTGGGTTATTGTTTTGAAAAATGGCCTCTAGTACAGCTTACAGGTTCTTGAAATGAGGTGAGGTGAAATCGGGTTTAACGTCGTGCTTGAGAATATTTCGCTCATATGACCGTGCATATGTGTGTATGTGTATGTGCGGCTGCTTGTAGTAGCCCAGACTGAAGCTGGTTTCATAGTGCTAGCCCACTGAGATACCATGCCGCAGTGAAGCATGAATACCCCACTCAGACACATTATACTGACTCTGAGGCGATAAATCCTTGTTGTACCCATTAATGCTGAGCGCCAGGCAGGGACCAACAAGTACCATATTTTAACGTCTTTTGGTATGACGCGGCCGGGGATCGAACCCGCGACCTTCCGCTCTCCGGGCGGACGCTCTAACCACTACACCACGGAGGCGGTTCTTGAAATGAAAAAGAGGCCCTTTATTACAGCCTTTGGGTTATTGTTTTGAAAAAAAGGCCCTCTATTACAGCTTACAGGTTCTTAAGATGAAAAAGAGACCCTCTATTACAGCCTTTGGGTTATTGTTTTGTAAAAAAGGCCCTCTGTTACAGCTTACAGGTTCTTAAGATGAAAAAGAGACCCTGTATTACAGCCTTTGGGTTATTGTCATGAAAAAGAGGCCCTTTATTACAGCCTTTGGGTTATTGTTTTGAAAAAAAGGCCCTCTGTTACAGCTTACAGGTTCTTGAAATGAAAAAGAGGCCCTGTATTACAGCCTTTGGATTATTGTCATGAAAAAGAGGCCCTTTATTACAGCCTTTGGGTTATAGCATGAAAAATAGGCCCTCTATACAGCTTATAGGTTATTGAAATGGAAAAGAGGTCCTCTTTTGTACAGTTTTGGGGTTATTGTCCTAAATAGGGACCTTCTATTACGCTTAGGGGGTACTGAAATGAGAAAGAGGCCCTCTATCATGTCTATTACAGTTTGTGGATTATTCCCCTTAAAGAGATCAAGACTGCTGCCAGCAGAATAACGTGTTAGATATCTAGATTCTTTCATGTCATATCTGTCAATGTATACAAGTTTACAAAATGTCAAGTAAAAAAGATACCGTTAGCTCCAACCTTCTCACTTCTTGTTGTCTGTTTTCCTTGGTGTCAATACTTACTGCAGTTGGATGTCGTACATAGTGGTATAAAGTATCCGACTACGTAATCCACGAAACAAGATGACGTCACATTTTGTGGGCACATGAATGGGTGATGATTGCGAATGGTTTCCGTAAACAAACGCTTCATTCACGCGTGGAATATTAGGCATTTTCAATTTGCTGAATCAATGAATAAAATAATCAGTGCGATACAAAATGAAATCATGCATTTAAAATATGAATTTCACCGCACTTCCCTTATATCCACGAATGAAGGTTACGCGAGTGTATATGTGTGTGTCTACAGTTTGTGGAGATCAAGGGCAGCCTATTCAAGCGTGTGGACAAGAACAACCTGTTCCAGATCTCCTGCAGCGATGTGAAGGAGAGGTTCCATTACTGTATACTGCTGGGGATCGTCTTCATCAGAAACATGGCTGAATTTGCCTGGAATCCTGGTGAGATTTTTCGTATCTCTCCGAATATCATAATGTAAATGTGAATATACATGCAAACTGTCCATCAGAATGTTATCAAGGATGTGTAAGTGATAAAGGGGAGTGCCGGGGGTCTGTTATGTTTCCTGCCAGATTATTTGAGGTGAGGTGAGGTGAAATTGGGTTTAACGTCGTGCTTGAGAATATTTCGCTCATATGACGACATGCATGCGTGTGTATGTGTATGTGCGGCTGCTTGTGCTAGCCCAGACTGAAGCTGGTTTTTTATAGTGCTAGCCCACTGAGATACCATGCTGCAGTGAAGCATGAATACCCCACTCAGACACATTATACTGACTCCGAGCTTACCAGTCCATGTTGTACCCATTAATGCCGAGCGCCAGGCAGGGACCAACAAGTACCATATTTTAACGTCTCTTGGTATGACGCGGTCGGGGATCGAACCCGCGACCTTCCGCTCTCCGCCAGATTATTTGAATCAGGGGACCTTCATATGTGTTAACAAGCCATTTGATTCATTCTTCCGTTCAAACCCTTCAAGGTACAGTTTATTCCATTTAAGCACAATCCTTGTAACCATGGTAACATGATATTTCACAGATCACCTGGTGGTAATTCTGCCAGACGTTGTCCTTGTCCTCCTGGCTGAGTTTGTTGTGGACTGGGTCAAGCACGCATTCATCACCAAGTTCAATGAGATCTCCTCTGATGTTAGTGGTATTCTCACAGTGTATTAAGTCTTTCATTGGATTCAACAGATACAGATGATTATAGTGAGAGAGTGAGTGAGTTTAGTTTTATGCCACACTCAGCAATAGTCCAGCTATATGGCGGCGGTCTGTAAATAATCAAGTATGGACTAGGCAATCCAATGATCAACAGCATGAGCATTGGTCTACGCAATTGGGATATGATGACATGTCAACCAAGACAGCGAGCCTGACCACCTAATCCCTGTTAGTCGCCTCTTACGACAAGCATGGGTTGCAGAAGACCAGTTCTTCACGGATACAGATGATTATAAGAATAATTAGCGAGCATGAACAGTTTAGTAATGTGTATCTTCTCATATAACGATATCCTAGACAACAGTACAAGAATCTGTACTGAAACATCAAGCTCACAAAATAAAAGAAGTTATTATCCATATATTTGTCAGTATACTCATATGTGCAATAACTTTTCCAGCACCTTTATTAAAACACAACACTGCACAGTAACACTAATGTCTCTAGGAAGCGACCATATCAGTTTGTTCCTACAATATTGAGATAATGTAATTATCTCAGTAGTGGAATTATCTCAACAGTATGTGGTATGCTACCCACAATAATATGATAAAATAAATTCCCTTTTTCTATAATTATTGATGCCTCCTAATTTGACATTTTTTAACATCTACCGTTGTATTCCAGGCTTACAAAGAGTTTACAATCAATTTGGTGCAGGATATGGTGACCAGCAGACAGAAACATGTAAGTATTCAGAGACAGGGGTGCATTATTTTTACATCTGTGAAGATTGTTAACGTGTATTGGTCATCAGTAACCCATGCTTGTCGTAAGAGGCGACTAACGGGGTCAGGTGGTCAGGCTCGCTGACTTGGTTGACACATGGCATCGGTTCCCAACTGTGTACATTGATGCTCATGCTGTTGACCACTGGATTGTCTTGTCCAGACTTGATCATTCACAGAACGCTGCCATATTGTTGGGATGTTGCTGAGTGCAGTGTTAAACAAACAATCAAAAAACATAATTTTGACAATTATACAGGATTCAAGATCCTTGAACTTTTGGTGTCAGTTATTAATCTGAAAGCATAAAGGCAGAAAATGAAAGACATATCGGAATTTGAACAAAATCATTGTCACTGGCTGCAACCTCTGTACAAAATGACCGAGAAACAATTTTAGCTTCTCTTTTAAGTGTCTTCAAAATAATTGTTTTTCTTTAAGCAGGACCAAATGGACCTCTTGTTTGACAAATTAGCTGTATGTTAAACTGAAAGCATCTCTACAACACTTTGTTTCCCAGGCTTTCACAGACCATTCGGACCAAGTCTCACGTCGTATGGGTTTCACACCCCTCCCACTGGCCTGCCTCCTGTACAAGATCTGCTCAAAGTCTCTGAGGATGACTGGAGCATTTGGCATACTGACGCTCGTCATCTTCTACTTCTGGTAGTAGTTTGGTCTACAATCTGTCAGTCCATGGGGATTTGGGATTAGAATTGACCCAGCCGGCTTGTTCTGGTAGTAAGAGGGGAAGAAAGGGATTTTGTAGTCAGGTTTGGTGACTTGGTTGCCTACAATAACCAGACGATATGGATCATAGCTCAGGACATGATTGCTCACAAGTTGCTGTTATATAGCTGGAATATATTGCTGAGGGTGGCATTAAACAAGAAACTAACAAATACAGTCTCTTTCCATTTCCACCTGATCACAGGAGATCCCCAGTCCCTTGTGTGGTACAGAATCTTGGTACTATACCCAATATTTGTTTGACACTACCATTAAGGCAGCACACAATATTATGACTATTTATTTTGGGCCTTGATGTTCAAATAAGCAGGAAATAAGCAGGCTTGCAGATGAATGGTTGAATGGACAAGACCTCAGACCCTGGAGCCTAGACCCTAGACCCCAGCAAGGCAGCGAAACATCTGAGGAAACTATTCTGTGCTCTTCCCCTATGCTTCCCTTAAACCTAAAATAGAGATAAGATATATTTTGTGATCAAGCCATTTGTGCGCCAGTATTACCTGACAGTATGGACAGTAGCACACTCGATTTGTTTTGAAAAACACATTGACGAAGCTGTGATATTGCTTTCCATGGTGTGATATGTAGTTATTCACTCCCCAAGCTGAGAGTAGGTGCCTTGTAAACCCACTGTACTTGTTGTGACAACCAACTAATAGTTCAGTCACATGGTCACAATATGCAATTGTCAGTCAAAATACATGATTATACTGATTATGAGTATGATAGTGATATGATGTTAAAGTGAAACCTTGGGAAATCACACTAGTCCCCTGGCCTGAGACTACTCAATTGTGCGGAGGACAAGTGAAAACCAGTGATGTTAGCCATACTGGACTCACAGAATCCAAGTGCTATTTTTGTACTAGTTCTTAATGCTTTGGGGCAGTGGGGTAGCCTAGTGGTTAAAGCGTTCGCTCGTCATGCCGAAGACCCTTGTTCGATTCCCCACATGAGTACAATGTGTGAAGCCCTTTTCTGGTGTCCCCTGCCGTAATACTGCTGGAATATTGCCAAAAGCATACTCATCTACTCATTCTCAATGCTTCAGTTTTTGCTACTAACTGGATCTAAATAGAACTGATAGATGTAGATGTAGTAAATATTTTTGTCTCAAGTAGTACCAGCTACAAACTTGGAGCACTACTGATGTAAAACTTTCACCAGGCCTCTAAACAAAGCATGCATGTAAAAGAATATCTCATTATGTTTTTCAGTTTGTTGACATTAAAAGTCTTCACAAGCATAGTGCTGCTGGGACATGGATCAAGGTTGTTATCTCAGCAGAAAACAAAATTAAAGAAACCAGGAAAGTCACAAGAAGTAGATTCTCAGAAAATCCCTAATAAGGAGAGACAGTACAATAAGGGTTCGAGAGTAGCCCCACGCCAGACAGTTCACCTTCACCAGAACCTGACATAGTTACCTCCCCTGCTGCCACCACTGTGGCTAATGATATGTTTTCATCCTCAGAATCTGTAGACTGTGTCAAGCCATCTGATTTGCCAGAACCAAATGATGGCTTATATACTGATTGTAACAATGAATCTGATTGGACATTATCGTCTCCTAATAATCATGTGACATTGAGACAGTGTAGTAGTGACAGTTCATTGTTTGTTAAAAATAGAGATTTGGGAAGTTCGGATGAAAAAGAGGAAGAAATTGTTATTGATGAAGAAAAAGATGATGATAATGTAGAAGTGTTAGCAGAGGCTGAGGAAGAGATCCAAAGTGATAATCACGAGGCTGTGTTTGATGATAAAACATCTCCCAATGAACCAGAGTCTGATGTTGCTGTTGAGAGGAACGGTGACGCTGAATGTCATGTGGACAAAGATGACATGTCGTCACCTGTAGATTACAACGAGGAGGAAAAGAAGAATCAATAATCATGGTCATCGGGGCACAGGCATTAGCACTTGTTGTTTTATATGGAAAATATTGTTTGAACATTTCAAAGGATTTGTGAGCCTTGCTCCTATGACTCTCAGTACAGCTGGTTTCTTAAATATTCTTGAAGTATATTCAGAACTGATGCCAAAAGCATAAATTAGACTTATACTGTTTGATTTGTTTATGTATGTTTAACGGTACATGTTTGTGAAAGCGCTGTTTGAGTTACATGTCTGTTTGTATTTGATGTTACCATAGTAATAGAGATTTTGAATGTTACCATAGTAATCAGAAAAGTTCCACATCAAACATTTTCAAAAGACGATGATTAAGTATTGAAATATCCTTGCCATATAATTTGCCAGAATGTTTTTGTTTTTTAATAAGAGGCGAAAAAGATGAATATTGTCTACAATACACACAATCATCATGATATAGGGTCCAGAGCTATCTCAGGTGGGACCGACTTATTTTCAACATCTATTTTTGACATGACAGTCATTACTAAATATTTATACTCATCATCTTATCATTTGTGTCATTACCATTAAGAGCGGGTCACGTGGATATAATGATGGCGACTATCAGCATGATCAGATATTCATTACTCATGAATATGAGGCCACGTCAATTTTATTTCTTGTTTTACTGGATCCGCCTGTCATATTTTTTCAGGAATAAGAAAAACATTTAATAATTTTCCCCCTCAAGAAATAAAATGCTAATGTTTTTATTGGCCAAAAATGTAAAATTACAAGAAAATTACTTTTTTGGTTCTTGCCCCATATACACTTGATAACTTACCAGAAGTATAATAATTTTAGTATATAGAAGGAATATTACTTTGATTATTTATTTTATTTATACATTTTTTCCCTCCTGCCTTTAGGTTTTCGGAGGACAAAAATCCGTAAAACAAGAAATATAATTGGTCTGGCCTGATTAAGAAAACAATTTTTTGTTGTATTTATTATTCCTCCAGTTTTATATTAGGGTGCTCCAAACATTCACAGAATGCTTGTCTTATATTCAGAATTATGATCATATGAAGTATGTTTTTTTATTTATAGGCTTTTTTTCCAAAAATTGATGTGTTTTTGTATTTGGTTCTGTTGTCTAAGGTAATGAGAGTTTTTATGGGGTAGTCCGGTGTATTGATCTTTTATGAAAACATTAGTCTGCCAGGAGTGCAGAAGGTTGGGGATTTCATCCCTTGACGTTGTCATACCAAAAGACATTAAAAGATGGTTACGTGGTGTGTCTGGGGTTTGGCTTCGAGGGAAATAGGTCGGACTGGTTGACTCCGAGGAAGTGCACTGTGTCTGAGTGAATGTTAAAGCTTCAGCATAGTATCTTGTGGGTTGCCATGATGACAGGTGTTGGGGTGCTGTTGTTCAAAGCAGTCTTAGTGCTAAGGTGATTGCAGCTTCCATACCTTAACGTAGACATATGACAATCATAGCGCTAAAGTTGTTTTATACACCAACAGCCAGGACTGTCATAGTCCCTTAAATTGTCCAATGACATTTGGATTTCTCAGTTGTCTGCCCTTATTATGGTTTATTTTGAATTTAATGAGAGACACTTTCCACCATCTGATGTTCATTTCCAGCCTAGGTGTAGATATTGCAGTAAGTAGAATGTGGTAAATAATGCACTTAAAACCTACAAGTGTGGGCTTGATTCCCTAAATCTCCATAATTATCTTGCTAGGTTTGTCAGCAACATAGCAATGCTGATATTTTTTCACCGAAATGGAAAAAATGTATGGCCTGGTCCCTTTTCCCCACATCAAACTAACATGCCATGATGTAACTGAAATTACAGTTCGAAGCAGCATTAACATAGGCTTAATGAGTAATACTAACCACTTGTCTCAGTACATTCTCGATAATCTCCAGGGTATAAGTTCCGATGAATCTCCACTAGTCCCCTGGATGCATCTACAGCATCAATAATTGTATTGGGTAGCCTTGAAGGCAAGTCAGTTTGGTTGTTGCAGGGTTTTATATGTACATTGCAGAGAAAGATATAAGATTTTTGAAACAGGGTTGCCATGTACCAGAAACACCCAGGTCATGAAGCGTCTGGAACGAGTGTGTGGTTAACATGTTCCTTGAGCACCGCTTGCATCTCCTGGACCCACCAAGCACGTATATACAGTGCTCAAAGCATTAATTTTGCAGTAGTACTAAAAGTGGCACAAAGCTCACAAAGCCATGATATATGTATCCAATGTCTGACTCCTATTGGAGAGAATGTTACAATCAGTGTATGAAATAAGGCCCGTCCGACCGACCGAGACGGTCTAGTTTTCTGACAGACGGTCTAAATTTACAGCTTGCCAGCCCGATGGTCTGGTAAACATTTTAAATGGTCCATACATCTGAGTAAATTCACCATATTTGGTCTGGTTAAATCCATTTTGGGCTGGTAACATTTTGAAGTTACCAGTCCTGATGTCTGGCTGGATTTTGGGCTTATTTCATACACTGTTACAATGGGTGTTCATGTTCTAATAGGGCGGTGGGTTAGCCTAGTGGTTAAAGCGTTGGCTCGTCACGCCGAAAACCTGGGTTTGATTCCCAAAATGGGCACAATGTGTGAAGCCCACTTCTGGTGTCCCCCCCCCCCCCGCCGTGATATTGCTTGAATATTGCTAAAAGCGGCGTAAAACTAAACTCAGTCAGTCAGTCAGTCTAGTTCTAATAGCAGTGACTGATAGATAGGTGAGGGTTTTGAAATTGAATTTAGTAACTAATTTCAGTATAATGAATACCCATAGTGTATCGTATACACCACTGTAATGTAACTTTTTTTGTCATAGAGTGTATAGGAAATTGAATATGCCTTAAAAAATATATTTTGTCAAAAAGTGCACTTTAGTAAGATCTGGTTACTCTGTAGGTTGGTTGTAGTGCACAATAATTTTATTCTGCAGTTGATTGCACTGCAGAAACTGATTCCCTGGAAGTCCTGGCAACAAGCTATTTATAGTTTGTAAGTCACTGACATGTGACAGTGTGTATGTTGCTGTTGACAGTGTCTGTATATTTTGCTGAGAGTGTCTGGTATTGCCTAGTAGTGTCAGTGTCCGTATATTTTGCTGAGAGTGTCTGATATTGACTCAAACTGTGAGTGTCTGTATACCGCGTTCGAAATACCCGCTTGCCCGACTGCCCGGGACAGGTTATTTTCAGCACGGACTGCCAGATTCTCAAATCCACCTGCCCGACGGTCGGGTTAAAATTTAGACATGTATATGAAGATATTTATCATACTTCTGGATAATAAATCATTATTAATTCACTCATAAAAATAGAGTAAACAAGTAAATTAGTATTGTTCGTGGGCAGGTAAGTTTTGGTCAGGGCTGGCAAGTTTTACAACTAACTAGCCCTGTGGTCTGGCTGAAATTTTTGGGAGTTTCATACCCTGCTCTATAGTTTGCTGAGAGAGTCTGGTATTGACTCAAACTGCCAGTGTCTGTATAGTTTGCTGCGAGTGTCTGGTATTGACTCAAACTGTCAGTGTCTGTATAGTTTGCTGAGAGTGTCAGGTATTGACTCAAACTGTCTGTCTGTATATTTTGCTGAGAGTGTCTGATATTGCATAGTAGTGTCAGTGTTTGTATATTTGGCTTAGAGGAACTGGCATCGCTGTAGACAGTGTCAGTGTCTGTATATTTTGCTGAGAGTGTCTGGTATTGTCTCAAACTGTCAGTGTCTATAGTTTGCTGAGAGTATCTGATATTGCCTATAGTGTCAGTGTCTGTATAGTTTGCTGAGAGCTTCTGATATTGCCTATAGTGTCAGTGTCTGTATAGTTTGCTGAGAGTGTCTGGTATTGACTCAAACTGTCAGTGTCTGTATAGTTTGCTGAGAGTGTCTGGTATTGACTCAAACTGTCAGTGTCTGTATACCGGTAGTTTGCTGAGAGAGTCTGGTATTGACTCAAACTGCCAGTGTCTGTATAGTTTGCTGAGAGAGTCTGATATTGCCTAGTAGTTTCATTGTTTGTATATTTGGCTTAGAGGAACTGGCATCGCTGTAGACAGTGTCAGTGTCTGTATAGTTTGCTGAGAGTGTCAGGTATTGACTCAAACTGTCAGTGTCTATATTTTGCTGAGAGCTTCTGATATTGCCTATAGTGTCAGTGTCTGTATAGTCTGCTGAGAGCTTCTGATATTGCTGTAAACAGTGTCTGTATATGTTGCCTTGAGCATCTGGTATTGCTGTCGACAGTGTCAAAGTCAGTATACATGTATGTTGCTGAGAGTGTCTGGTATTGCTGTTGACTGTGTCAGTGTCTGCACATTTTGTTTCACATTCGCAGTGTAAGTAAATGACAGTTGACAGTGTCTGTGTTTTTAAATGACATTTGATAGTGTTTGTAAATGACAGTTGATAGTGTTTGTAAATGACAGTTGAAAGTGAAAGTGTTTTAAATGACAGCTGACTGTGTCAGTGTTTGTAAATGATAGTCAACACTCTCAGTGTTTGTAATTGACAGTGACTGTTTGTAAATGACAGTTGACAGTGTCGGTGTTTAATGACAGTTGACAGTGTCTGTGAATGACAGTTGACAGTGAAAATGTTTGTAAATGACAGTTGACAGTGTCAGTGCTTGTAAATGACAGCTGACAGTGTCAGTGTTTATAAATGACAGCTGACAGTGTCAGTGTTTGTAAACAGGGTAACTATGTGTGCTTGTAGTACTGTTTGATAGCTGTTGAGAGTGCCTGCATAATGAATGTTATAACCAGACATGTGATACTGCTTGTTGTTTGAATGTTACCATGGTTACATGTTGAACCACACTATGTCATTGTTTATATGGTTACTGTGGCCTTAATCATATTTCTCCTGTATCTATCTATACAATCAATACGTATGTATATTTTTGTGCAGTCTTGCAGTGGTGAGTAACATTAATCTTTTATTTATTTTTTCTATATGACTATGAAATGGTGTAGAGACACAGTATATTCAAGTTTTTCTCAATCAAATTACACAGTTATAAATATTTTCATTTTATCAAAAAGTCTTTCAGTTTCTCATTTCATATATTATCATGAACATGGAAACATTGTGTTAGGGATGTCACAGTTCACCAATGCATTGATACTATCAAACGATGTGATATACTATACACTCTTACTTTCATTGAGTACCCCAATTCATGTTTGAAGCCCACATTGCTCTGCAAAAGGGCCTATTCATTTATATATACTGGTATATTTTGGGTGCACATCTGAGGCATTTTACCAACAGGGTATTTGCTATAAATGATAGAAAATACTTATGCAGTGTCTCAATATTCATCTGAAAATTGATGAAATGAGACATTAATATTTGAAATAAAAGACCAGATATTCAAGAAATGTCAAGTGTTTTAATGATATTTATGCCCTATGAAATATAAACATGTACAAACAATTGCCATGAATTATGAATGGCAATGGATATCGTATAATGAACAATTATTGAATCATGAACAAAGCATATATATATTGCAACCCACTTGCTGCAGTATAAACAGGGTTTGTGCTTATAGTCATTGCAAAACTGCCAAATATTTAATGTATAAAGACAAGTAGAAATATTTAGAGGTTTGGGTATGTGGTATTATGGGCTGGTGAACTAGAACTGTTAATGTCAATCACAGCCATTGGTGATCCCATGGTAGCTAACTTAGGTGTTGTAGCTAACTTAGGTGACATTTTTCAAGCACATGTTTGCCTGGTCATACTGTATTATGTACAAGTCTGTTATTACCAGGGGCAGTGGGGTAGCCTAGTGGTTAAAGTGTTCGCAGTGGGTACAATGTGTAAAGCCCATTTTTGGTGTCCCCCACCGTAGTATTGCTGGAATATTCCTAAAAGCAGTGTAAAACTAAACTCACTCACTCACGGTTAGTACCAGGAATATTAACATGGTGTGTAATGACATTCATTGAATCACTCGCACTTTAATAGTAGAATAAATGTGTTAGGACATATCTTTTGATGAAGAAAACATCATCCGTTCACTGGTTCAAGAGTAATCCAACGACAGTCTGACAGACTCAAAGGGGCACCTGTTTGGTGGGGACTCATATGATTTTTGACCATTGTATGTGGAACTGTAGCATCTTGGATTGAGAAGACTGTCACATCACAGAGCTTTTATCTCACTACAGGGTTCATGTATTAACTACTGTTTTCTTTTATGCATTGACGTTTTACAGAATTTTTCAACAGTTGAGTGTTATGAAACATTTATTTCCCTCTGATTGTAAAAGAATGACAGAAAACTTTGGGTACAGATACAACACAGACTTGTGTAATGAATCATGTCCAGTCCACATGAATGTGTGCTGTATGTTTCTTTACAAAGCTGATCAAACCAAATGGTTAGAGTTTTCATTTTTCAGCAGGATGATCAAAATCGAAAACTAACTTCCATCCTTGTCTTCCGGGTAGAATGTATCAAGTACTTTTTTCATTTAACAAAACAGAAGACCCAGACGCTGAACCAAAGCATTATACAGTAGGGATCAATTCTTATGGTTAAAAAAAACAACAGGTCCAAAAGAATTTTGTGAGGACTGTGGATGTTGACAACGCTAGTTGTCTCCCTTGAATTGTCTGCCGCTATTGCTTTTTGGCAATATGAAATGTCGCGCAAGAGTCGTAAATATCGGAATGTCACAGTTTTCAAAGGCGCATCTGGGGGGTTAAGGTTTATAGAGTGCCTGGCATTCACTGGCAAATTTATGATGAATGAAAATGTTCATTATACGCTCCCTTACACTACGATTAATGCCAATACACTGAGCTGAAATGAACTTAACTATTATTTCGAATATTTTCGACCCATACGCGCCTAATTAATTTGGTAGGATTACTATTTAATGATGCAATCGAAATCACGTTATGTGTTACAAGCATAGTATTGAATGATTGTGTGTGATCTTGCACTATTGTTGATGCGCATGTTAATAAATTATTTTTTTTAACTATAAACTGACTCTTTGTATATCAGTCACACCCAGCCGAGAAATGCTGTTCTCTCTCTCTCTCTCTCTCTCTCTCTCTCTCTCTCTCTCTCTCTCTCTCTCTCTCTCTCTCTCTCTCTCTCTCTCTCTCGATCTCTCTCTCTCTCTCTCTCTCTCTCTCTCTCTCTCTCTCTCTCTCTCTCTCTCTCTCTCTCTCGATCTCGACGGGTGTTCTTTGGCTGTGTGCTTTAGCTTCTATCGACACAATCGATCTGGTTCCTCAGTCTGAATCAAGCCAAACTTCGCCGACTGAGATTTGATAAATTATTCAAGTAATTAGAACGTGGGAAACGCAGGTGGTTGGTGTGTTGCAAGTTCTTGAATGGCCTGTGTTCGATTCCCACGAGGCAGAGTTCGTAACGCCCATTCAGTGTCGCGGTCTTGCAATTACTATGAACTGATTGAACTCTTCCAAGGCCGATGATAATCGATTTTCCTGAAAAAAATTACCGTTTTCTTTTCACGGTGAGGGCACCAGGGAGACGTATCATTTAAATACTGATGAAGATGGTTAATGCTGTTGCAAGTTGTGCTGGATGAATTCGATAGTCACTGTGTGCATTGCTTTTACCAAACTGGTAACAGCTGTGTTGCTTTGTGCTTTCTTCCTATAGTGACCGCCTCCGTGGTGTAGTGGTTAGAGCGTCCGCCCGGAGCGGAAGGTCGCGGGTTCGATCCCCGACCGCGTCATACCAAAAGACGTTAAAATATGGTACTTGTTGGTCCCTGCCTGGCGTTCGGCATTAATGGGTACAACAAGGACTGGTCGGCTCGGAATCAGTATAATGTGTCTGAGTGGGGTATTCATGCTTCACTCCGGCATGGTATCTCAGTGGGCTAGCACTATAAAACCCGCTTCAGTCTGGGCTAGTACAAGCAGCCGCACATACACATACCCACGCATGCACGTCGTCATATGAGCGAAATATTCTCAAGCACGACGTTAAACCCAATTTCACCTCACCTTCTTCCTATAGTGAGTGAGTGAGTTTAGTTTTATGCCGCACTCAGCAATATTCCAGCCTAGCTGGAACTCGGCGCTATAAAAATAGATAATAATAATAATAATAATCTATATGGCGGCGGTCTGTAAATATTTGAGTCTGGACCAGACAATCCAGTGATTAACAGCATGAGCATCGATCTACGCAACTGGGAAACGATGACGTGTGTCAACGAAGTCAGCGAGCCTGACCACCCGATCCCGTTAGTCGCCTCTTACGACAAGCATAGGCTACTGAAAATCAATTCTAACCCGAATCTTCGCGGTAGCGTTGTACATTTGAACAGCGGCCTGACACGGAGACAATAATTTCTACCTGAATATCACATGCTGAATATAGCACAAGTAAAATCTTGTAAATGAGCGTTTATTATAACATTCGGCCTCATGGTTTACGAATCCATCAAGGACATGACGCATGCTACAGTAAAAACGAACACATTTATAACGAAGTGTCGGTTAAAGCATCCGCGCGTCACGCTGAAGACCCGTGTTCGATTCCCCACATGGGTACAATGAAGTCCATTTCTAGTATCCCCGCCGTGATATTGCTGGAATATTGCTAAAAGCGGAGTAAAGCCATACTCAAGGTTTTCTAAACCCTGGATGACCCATGTGAACCAGAGCTGACCAAGTTGTCCATACCTCGTTAACTCCTGGATGGACGTGCTCGGAGTCGCCGCCTACGTACGCGTGTGACGTCATCGTTAAATATAATTAGTTTCTAATATTGATTCATTCATGAATACTTTAGTGACTACATTTAACTAGGTATTTAAATCAATGTATTCTGATGTACGTCAGGACTGACTGAGTTTGGTTTTACGCCGCTTTTACCAATATTCCAGCAACATCACGGCGGGGGACACCAGAAATGGGCTTCACACATTGTGCCCATGTGGGGATTCGAACCCGGGTCTTCGGCGTTACGAGCCAACGCTTTAACCATTATGCTACCCCACCGCCCCGATGTACGTCAGGACATTTTGATTGTTGGTGGGTATACTTTAGAACCAATAATCCAATCTTGATTACCTTACATCTATGTTTGATTTCTAAACGTTAAACGTTATAGATATAGCATTAGTTGCACACGTTTTTACCCCTCATAGCTTGCAAGGTTCGATGGGGTAGCCTAGTGGTTAAAGCGTTCGCTCGTCACGCCGAAGGCCCGAGTTCTATTCCCCACATGGGTACAAAGTGTGAAGCCCATTTCTGGTGTCCCCCGTGATATTGCTGGAATATTGCTAAAAGCGGCGTTGAATCATTCCCACTCACTCACTTATAGCTTGCAACATATATTATATTTAGGATTACACTTGCTCAGTAAAGCAGAGACTGTACTATATTTTCATGCTAAGTCTCATCGAACCAACTCTCGGAGTAAGGCACCAAATCGCCAGTAGTCAACGATCTAATCCCCTCATAGTTTGGGTGTGTCTTATTAATTCAAATTTAGTTTAACATAGTTACCTCTGGTTTCCAGAGACGTGGTAATCTTGGTTCACTCAGGCCAGTCAATATGTAATAATCGAACACCCGTCCTCGTCTACCGGTGTCTACTGGCTAGACTTGAACAAGACTCTAAGGTTATAAATAATTGTTTAACTGATAATTTCTTTAAACATACGAATACAAAGAACGCACTGTCCCTCTAACAGACTGGCTTCCTTGTACTGTCCGCGTATCTAGACTTGCCCCTTTAAAGGATAAAATTACTATACATCCATTGGCTTAGCATTCAGTATAGCCTTGGAGCAAGGCTATCAACTTACGTACTGTATGGTGGACGGTTGGGGACATCGCTTTATCAACTTTAATTACAGTCGCGGGAACTTGAAACAGTAGTAACACGAAAGGGAAAAGACGAGAAAGCGATAGTACTGGACGACGTGATACCAAGCACTAGAAACTATCGCTTTCTGGTCGGGTGTTATTGCTTTATCGACTTCAATTACGGCTGCGTGAAGACGTAAGAGGAGGAGAGAAAGCAATAGCACGATGTGTGAAAGCGATATTAGTTTTGTGTTATCGCTTTATTGCATTCTCACGACTCAATTGTAAGTCGATAAAGCGATGTCCGCTCTCGACGACCATATCACGACTCATATTATTTCCACTACAGGCATATCGCCTTTATATGTTTGGGTTTTTTAATTGAAATTAAAATCTGCCACATGGGTACAATGTATGAAGCGAATTTCTGGTGTCCCCCGCCGTGATATTCTGTAATATTGTTAAAAGCGGCGTAAAACTTAACTCACACTCCAAAGCCGTATGCCAGCGTATTAATACGTTGTTACTGCTCCGAATCTGAATACCTTAGTATTGACAAGTGTTTAGTGTTCTGAAGTCGTGTACCTATGTATTAATACGTTGTTTCTTTTCCGGAGCAGTATACCTACGTATTAAAATGGTGTTAATGTTTTGGAATGAATGGATGTATTAATTTGCCTTACTGTTATGAAACCTGTATGTACCTATGTATTAATATTTTATACTTTCTTAAAGCTGTATGTACCTTGGCGTCTGTACATTTATGCACGAGGCTCTACAAAAGCGAGCGTAACGTCGAGACTACCGTAACTCCCATACATTAACACAGACGTACGGTAATCGTACCTCTAAGATCCCCCGGACTTGAACGGGGCTCTGATATTGCGAGAACGTATAAATACTTGATTCTGTATCAATGTAAAATATTTATTGAACGTTCCACAAATTAAGTTCGCACAAGCAACTTCGTGGGAATGATTGCTGATACGACTATGATCACAAATTGGAGATGTTATCTAAATGTATCGCTTCAAGGCTTGCCCACAAACGTGTCTGTGGCAATTTCGCGCTGTCGTTTGACTAGCGTCTCGCAGAGTTAGCTCCCTTCCCTCCAGTGCAAACACTGCGTGGACCAGGAAGTGATTCTGACATGAGGCGTTGTCGTTGTAGGTTACCCATAAGTGAGCTGTAAAAGGCTTAACTGGGTCTTTATCCGTACTGTTGTATTTCAATAACAATTATAAAAGCCCTTCCTCATTGTAGACAGGTGTTTCACGTGAAATGCAGAGTCTCTTTTAAATCTGATATCACTGTCGAGACTTGAATTAAATTTGTTCAGGATAAGATTATTGTATGATATTGGAAAGGGATATTCGTTATTCATATGGTTTATTCATGGTATCGGTGCTGTGTCGAAGGACTGAGTTGACGAATCTGGGATACTGAGAATTGCCGGGCGACATGACGTCCTGGATCAACACAAATCTTAGCGGTCTCTTATCAGACACTTTTATTGCCATGTTTTATCCATGTTGCCCTCATTGCGTCTGTAGAGCCAACAAATCCCGGATAAGTTAGGTTTGTGCAATGGCGGCCCCATTTAAACAGAGCTACCAGTCAAATGTGATACTCTGTTTTTATTGAAAAGAAAACATTATACACACGTTGAATGGCCAAAAAATATGTTTACGTTTTCGTTTTAAAGCGCAGAGATCATTGACCAAGTGTGTACTCTTTAACTGCTCTGAGTGAATTTAGTTTTACGCTGCTTTTAGCAATATTCCAGCGGCGGGGGACACCAAAAATGGACTTCACACATTGTACCCATGTGGGGAATCTTCGGCGTGACGAGCGAACGCTTTAACCACTAGGCTACCATGTGCACACCGCCTCTATTTGGAACATTAAATATATAGACAGTTCTTTTCACTGGACAATACTGCACTACTGGATTGTATAGTAGTGAGCTTTGTCTACTATGGTTTTGCATGAGATTACTTAATATCAGTTACTACTGCGAAGGCTACAGTATATCTGTAAGCACGTCATGTGAACGAAATTTCTAATTTTAAGAAGCAAAAAGTTCAAACGACATGGTTGAAACATCGTTTACTGGACTTGTTGGAGAATAATTTTGCATGTCTTGGCGATCCGCCCCCATTTCCCCAAACATATTTAAAAACGTTCAAAGCTAGAAGGATCTGTTAATATGGACGTCTGAGAGCCAGTGTGTTGTTATATAGATTGTTAACCATTGCACTTGTACAAAATAATGTCTCCTCATGTTGTTTAATGTCTCATCATGTTGTTTGATCTTATAGTTCGCTAAGTACGCTCGGCTGGGTCTGAATCACACTGCACACAGTGGCACACAAAGCCTTTAGGAAATGTGTGTCAAATGAGCTATTAAACTACTCACAGTGAGTAAGTTTCCCAGATAAAAGTTCACAGAACACGTCATAGCTTTACTGAGCTGTGTAGGTGACACGCCTTCTATAGAGCAAGTATCAATGCCCTTGCACACCTTCTAACACACTCAGGCCATACGGGGTTGACATGTGGAAAATCAATCAATGTTGTTTACTTTCAAATGATTAATTTTCAGGTTACCTTAACATGAAATAATGGATTCCGAAACGAAGGAAACAGATAAACGAATGCAAGCGGTGGAAAACGCCATGTTACCGTACTGTACACACCTTTGACATATCACACCTGAACAAATTCTCCATTAAGTGACGAAAGCTGTGGGGACGGAGAGAGTGGGAGGGGGAGGGACGCGTGGGGCGTCCCGGTGACGATACCTCGTCAGTTCCTTCTGGAATAAACATAGTACACCCTAGTCCAACCTTGAAGAGAGTCGTGTTTGCGAGAACAGACTAATAACAGGGGCTAACAGCAACTGGTCTCAACCAACAAAATGGTGTCGGTAATATTTGCACGTGAGCCGTGCGTTTATTGATCAGCCGAGGAGGTTTCTCTGTGGTGAAGAAAAGCTACACCGTCAACAGCCGGGAAGTCCCCGTCTGTTAAATCACCACACCAATCACCTCCCTTTGATACTGTTGCCTCTCTTTTACGTTAACTGCCAACGCCTGTTTATCTAGTGTTATTCAAGCATTAGTGTCGTCTGCACGACTAGCGGCTGCAACTGCAGTGACGTAAATTGTCTTATACCTTCAACAATCACCAGCGGAGGACATTGCCAGTGATTCCAAGCACACTGTTGCTACGTCTGAGAGATCGATAGATCAATGTGATTGACCGGTCGGCAAGCTGATTCGCCCACAAGATCTGCGAAGTCACTGTTCTGGGGAAACATGGGTGTGATTCTAAAACTCTGAAAAAACCTACCACGTATATTAATTCAACAGGTGGTAGGTGTCATATAGGTAAGTACCCTTTGCTATTCTACTATGTGTACAATCATGTCATCCACGCGACATTTAATATCACCTTGGCTGAATCAGCTCGAGGCAGATTCATGGCAATTAAACGTGCGTGTATATTACGGTGTCAGTGTGTGAAACAATGACCCAGTACTTCATTTTCTTCCTCGCACCAGGGGATTACGCCGTGAATAAATGACGACAACTAGCACGATGGTAGCCCTGTAGACGTAACTACCGACGAAGAGCATTATCAGCATGACTAGAGATTCGCAAACTATCTTGTCAGGGTCTAGTGACTGGGAAATGGATGAATAGAAAGCCGTTAATATAAGTTATTGGAATACAAGGATACGATCTCCATTCTATATCCGGTGTAGATAGTTGAGTTGACAAATGCTGCAAAACAAATCCATATATTGTCCGTAATTAGTTTTTATGGGCTGAAAAACATATCCTAGTTATCTGTCTTGGATAAGAGACACTGGTCCGGGCAATTCGTCATTGTCATCCGTCCGCTCTGTCCGATAGGGAAACAGGATGGATCACGTCCGATCAGTAACAACCTGTTGCATCCCAAGGATGAAATCTGAATAACGAGGGAAATGGTTTTTAGAATGCAAGTCGGAGCGTCCTACCACCCTAGTATCAGATGTGTTATTGTATTAACCTCTGTGGTGGCTTTACATTTCGTTACACGGGACACTGCGCATTAAGTACTAGACGCCATTAGGACCTCGTGTCAGTTTTTTGTCGTCGTATTTAAAGGGGTGTCGTCTGTGTCCAATCATGATTCAGACTGATTCAAGTCTGGAATGAGACAGTCTGGGGTTTGCTTCCATTCTTAATTCGGAATTTCGGCTGACTTGGGTTATGTTCTGTTCAGAGAGTCTGATATCTGTTCCAGTCTTGATTCAACGGTCAGCTGTCTGTTTCAGTCTAAATTCATAATGTCTTATGTCTGCTTCAAGGACCGTTTCAGACAGTCTGCGTCTTCTTCAGATTCTCTGGTCACATGACCATTTGAAATGGGGAAGGCTGCCACACTGAGTGAAAGTGGCTAATGATTTCAGGAAAGAGCTTATCATACATCTGAGAGCCGTGTTATAAACACAGTCAATCATGCAGCTCTCAGACAATTCGAGGTGACAATTCTACCATTAACCCCCAAAATGTACACACCGCAACTACCTCCCAGCAATTAAATTCTCCCAATACACTCCAGCAGTCATAATCATACTACCCACGCCCTGACGCCCCAGCTAACTGCAGAAGGTTATCGACTGGGACACCGTCTATATATATAACATAGCCCAGGTGTTGTAACGGGACCACCCATTGATTTCCAACTATCAAAGCGACCTCTTCTTGACATATTTATACACCACTTCACGTGAACTTCTGCGTTAGATGGTGACTGAAATGAGTGATTAATGACTTAAAGGTGTTTCTAATTCTGGAATTATGGCTAAGTGAGTTTTCGGATGCGCTATTTAAAGCCGCTTTAAATAGTACGATAATTATCAGCTTATATCAGTCGTAGGTCAGCAGGAAGTGGGGGAAAGGCCTAAAGTTACACATGTGGTAGGCGATTATCTCTTGGTCATGAAAAACTAGGAATCAAACGCGAAGTAAGCAATCCGTCCTGCTTGACATTGAGCTACACTGGAGTCCTTTGGTTATCTCACGTATGTATAAACAATAATATCTACATGATTTTACAAGTAGATGTCTTGTACATTATAACAGTAGTAGCTATGGCAATAGTCAAGTAGACATACATAACAGGTATTATTTACAATGACATAATGTATGAAATTACAATAGATGAAATAATTTCCATTAGTTTAGTTTCCAGGTAAGTATATGTGTGTTGGACAGCGAATGGATACAAATAGCACTTGTCCGAGAGTGGGTGCAGTAAAATATAGGCTGTAAAACTGTCTTTGTAATTAGATCAAAAAGATATCGTGTTTGGCACCATTAGATGCAGCAGCAAGAGTAGTAGTAGTTGTAGTAGTAGTAGTAGTAGTAGTAGTAGTGGTGGTGGTGGTCGTAGTAGTAGTGGAAATAGTAAAGTTGTAGCATTTGTAGTAACAGCAATGGTAGTTGTAGTTTGTTTGCTATTTCACGCCAAATGCGTCAATTTTCGGTGGCGTGTTGATTTTCTAGTCTGAACCAGACAATCTAGAGGTTAAGATTGTGAGCAATGAGCCTGTCCACCTGCGAAAAGGATAGTAGTAGCAGCAGTAGTAGTAGTAAGTGAGTGAGTGAGCTTAGTCTTACGCCGCTTTTAGCAATATTCTAGCAATATCACGGCGGTGGACACCAGAAATGGGCTTCACACATTGTGCCCATGTGGGGAATCGAACCCGGGTCTTCGGCGTGACGAGCCACTAGGCTACCCCACCGCCCTTAGTAGTAGGAATAGTAGTAGTAGTAGTAGTAGGAGTAGTAGTAGTAGTAGTAATGAAACCTCGATAGTCCGCAGTTTCCTCTAAATGGTCAAATTTAAAGGGATACCCAAACTATATATATCCAAACATTTCTTAATCTGGAAATGAGCAGGTGTACAATTAGAAATAATCGTCGTGGTAGTGGTGGTTGTGATGTGGCGGTAGGTGTTGTTACAACACGAGGAGCGTTGTGTAGGGGGATTATTCGAGGTGACGTGCAGGAAACAGACCTGTGCATGACAGAACATCCGGGTTTCGGACACCATGTTTTGGAGTACGAATAAGTCAGGTCACGGTTAGGGCTCAGATGGTGATATTCAAATGTGACATATCACAGTCTCTAACCAATAGAACCTACAGTGGTCATATTACTTCATCAACTGCACACGTATGCTGCGTTATTCAGATAGACTGCTTCCGTCCTCAGTCTCCGGATGCCTCGGTATGGTGAATATGGATGCGCTGGTACTGAGATTTACAAATTCAGAGAGAAAAACAAACAGGATTGCTGTTATTGATTTTGTGTCAAGATCGACTTCTGAAGCTTTCTTTGATTAATTGGATATGCCCGTATTTGAACAGTCGATGCCTTTTTGAATAAACATATAGCAACTCATGGTTGTAACATGATATGGTGTTGCTGTGAATAGACCGAAAGGACACAACCAAATTACACATTTATATATTGACAGGCGGTATATTATGCTTTGTATTCCTACTTTATAGTGCAATATGAGGACAGGTGCTCGTATTCATATTGCATGGTCCACACTAAAGGTATGCATTGCATTCGTATTGCATGGTCTGACAGTAAGGTGTGCATACAGTCAGATCGCATGGCTTCAATGTATGAACATGCATTCTTGCTATATGTTCTGACATTAATGCATGCTCTCTTATTGCAAGGTCAGACATGAAGCCTCGGTATCCATGCATTCAGTTTATGTGGTCCAACATTTAAGTATTCTTGCATTCATATTGTCAGGTTCGACAATAAGGTATGCATCCATTCTTAGATGGTCCGACAAAAAGGTATACATGCATTCCCATATGGTCCGACAATATTGTATTCTTGCATTCTCATTGCCAGGTCCGACATTTAGGTATGCACGCATTCTTTGGTTTGACAATAAAGTATGCATGCATTCACATCGCATACTCTGACCTTACGATATGTATGCTTTCTTACAGCATATTCAGACATTACGGCTTGCATGCATACTTATTACATGGTCCGACAAAAAGGTGAGCATGGATTCCTATTACATGGTCAGACAAAAATGCATTCTAATTACATAGTCCGACATTAAAGTGCGCATGCATTCTTAATTACGTGGTCCGACAAAAGGTATGGATTCTCATTGCACATTAAGCCATGTTGGCATTCATATTGCAGGTTTGGACGTCAAAATCGGCTTGCGTTGATATTGCTCTGCCCGATCCTTAAACATGCGTGCACTTATACAAAAACATCTGCAGTTACGTTCACATCTATGTTCACTTCGATGTGCCTGAATTCATTCTTATTGAAGATGACAAAGCAGCCTCCGACTGTAAGGAGAACAGATATTCCTGTTGTAGGCTTCCAAGGTATTTATGAATGTCGGATTGTATCCCGGTTCGTTCAAATTATTGTTCGTGTTTTATCAGCTCCGTGCTCGTTGGAGTCATAAAATTGCCCAGCGTCTCGGGTCTGCATCACAGACCGTCCACGTTAAGCGGAGATAGGTTTTGTTTGTTTGTTTGTTTGTTTGTTTGTTTGTTTGTTGTTCAACGCCACACTCAGTAGTATTCCAGCTATATGGCGGCGGTCTGTAAATAATCGAGTCTGGACCAGACAATCCAGTGATGAGCATCCAGTCAACATCATGAACATCGAATCTACATAACTGGGATGCGATGACATGTATCAACAAAGTCAGCGAGCCTGGCCACCCGATCCTGTGGTTATAGTCGCCTCCAGCGGAGACAGGCCTTCAACGTTAAGCGGAGACGCTGCTATAACACCGAAGTACTGTTCAACCGTCATTACACAAAACTCACTTACTCACTGACATAACCACCCTCACCCAGAGGGAGAGCCTGCAATCGCGTATATATTATGTAACATGCTCATACTGTTAACTAAAATATCGCTATTTTTAGAGGGGATTAAAAAAATTAGGCTTTTATCGTGTAACGAATTTAACTGTTCTCTTAGAAAATACACAGAGATAAATATTAGATAACCCAACAATGTCCATCAAATGTAATCAGTTAAACTACCGTGCTATCCTATATGTCAGGGTAGACTGGTGCGAGCTAGAGTGAGTGAGTGATTGAGTTTAGTTTTAGTACCCCATCGCCCCTCTACACGAGGACATCAGAAGTAACTGCGTAACTGTAAAATCTATTTTATGGGCGTTTCATGAATGTCAGACATGTATTTCCAGAACAGCTGCAGTCCATTGAGCACATTGTGTCGCTGTGACAAGTCAGTGATACGAACATGGGGTCTGTTACCCCCGGAGCAAGGGCAAACTAGAGCAATGAATACTTGTAGATAAG